CTTGTTCGTATTCCTATCCTTCGCATTCGTCTACTCTTCCTGGACTCTCACTTCTATCTAGATCGACGAGGTGGCGACAAAGCAAAAATTGATGTCTCTACAGCTTGGAATATAATAATTTTTTATTCTTTTTTTAAAAGCAATAAAGTCGTCATCGCGCGCTTTTAATCACGATTTCACCGTATTCGTTTACGTGCCTGACGCAGTCCTGCGTATCTTTGTATCACTTTTCACACTTTATGGGATATTCGAACATGTCGAATTTATGTTACAAAGAAAGCAACCCGGTGGTGTATGTCGGTGCCAATCTTGTTTGACGGGCTTTCTCTTCCCGTCTCACGAGGATTCGATAATGACCATGCACAGGTGACAAACAAGAGGTTCTTTCATTAAAACGTCTTTTCCCAAGGTCTTTACAGTTCTCTTCTTTTTCTCTCTTCGTCCGATCACTGTACTGCTTCGTTTCCGTGTAAACTCTTTGAATTGCAGATGTGGAATAGAATATTTTCTTACTTTGTAAATCACTTGAGTTGTGTGTTAAAACCTATAGAGATATACGCCTATAGAGATACCTATAGAGATATAATACCTATAGAGATTACTCACATATAGATATTTTTATAGGTCATTTGAAAAAAATAAACTCAGGGAAAGATTCAAGATTCTTAAGCATTTTGAAACATTGAAATGCATTTGTATAAAGTAATGTTACGTTTACGTTTTAAAAGATAAGACTAGAGAATCGTAATAAAACACACTTAAAATATTTATAAATAATACCTTGATAGTCCATATAATGAAAAATTATTTCTATATCAAATTTTGTTAGTCTGTAAAAAAATTCTCGAGAGCTTTTTCTCGATATTACACGCTCGATGTTACCGTAAATTTTCCATAAGAGTGTAAGCACGATGGACAGCGATGCGTAAAAATGGAATTTCGAAAGTCAAATCGAACGCCGAAATTCATTGGAATAACTGTGAATAATCAAGCACGCCAGGTATACGCGACCATGTCGCGACGTTGCAGTTCGGTGCAGTCGCATTGTGTGCACTGCTGCAGCGCAATATATCAGCCAGAAAAAAATATAGCCGGATTAATCATAAACCATGGTGATTTTTTAGCTGCAAGAATTATTTATAACACATTCAAGCACTTTTTGAAATAAATGTTTGTTTGACGATGTATCTACAACCAGCGCGCACGATAATATCAGCTATTATTGTAGAAATCTGTATTTGTAACACGAAACTGTACATAAAAAGATTTAAAAAAATTGACGAAATTCGGACAATTTCTCATATAAAGGATAAATATTTGCCTGTACAATGTTTTTTATACACAAAAAAATATTTTAACGGTCAAAAGTACGTTTATTATATATAAAATTATTTTATACTTTTTAAAATTATTAATAATTTTATTTTTGATAAAAAGAACGTGAATTACAAATATTAATATTTTGACTAATCTTTGCAAATTTTTTTACATCATATTATTAATATTTCGATATATTCATATTTATAATCAAATTAGATATTTTAATTTCTTTTTGAAATGTATTTTATGCAATAAAATATTTATTATATAGGTAATTTGCATCTCGATGAATATGAAGAGACATTCGATGTAAATTTTACAAGAAATGAGCGATTCCAATGCCTGGCATCAGAGTTTCGCTGCCAATTGTACTCCGGCATCGAAATCTCCAAATTATTTCAACTGACATTTGTTTTTTTTCTTTAATCGTTAGCGAAGTTGAAATCGTTTTGTTTTTAAACGTCCAAAAAATCTCGTGCTCTTCTACAAGAAACTTATGCAATATAAAGCTTTAGATTTCCTTTAAATGATGCATAATTTTTAATCTGTAATTTTTACTCTGAATTTTATCAATTTATTTAATCGTTACCTAATTACCGTGTAATATCGCGCTTATTTTTAGATACTGAAATTTTTATATTTATAGAGCTACATTATTCCACGTTAATAATCTATTACATCAGCGATTGCTTAATATATTGCGAATAGGAATATATTAAACGGTATAATAACGGAAGCATGAAGGCTCGCTCACTCGCCTTGAATACATTCCTCGATTAAATGTCAGCCGTTATTTATTTTGGCAGATTGTTCCTTTGAAATCGAGCTCCAGCAATATTTATATAACGAGAGGGAAAATAAATGCTCGTACGGAAAAATAAGTGAGCAATAAGGCCGCGTATGTCGGCCTTTCACCGCGTAAACAATTACCGCTCAATAAATATCTAATTAATTATTTAATTAATGGGACAATAACCAGTATGCGAATCTGCGTGAATAATTAAACGATGGTACGAATAAAATTTAATTTGCATTGGGCTCGAGCTAGCATCGTCGTCGGTTGCATAAACTATTGCGCCGCGCAGCGATTATGCCCATGCACGAAAACATTGTTTATTTCATAACTAATTTGTGCGGGAGAGCGTAAATTGCGTCAGTACTAATATTTGCTCTTTTTGGAGAACACTCCATACGTTATAAAATATCATACTGTGATCAAAAACCTTTCGCGCAATTGTTTCGCGGACCCTCCATTAATCGCGTGCCTTCCATTAATGTCGTCCTCTTCCCCTCCCTCTCGTTTCTTCACGCAAATTGCGCATTGCATGTTGTACGGTGACGCATTGCCATAATATAAGGTACAAAACGTATGCTCGTATCGATGAGAAAAAGGGGATGCAGCGACAGTGGCGGCAGCGGTAGGGGCGGGGACGGCGGGTAGACGAAGCGGGGGAGGAATTGGTTGCGCGTCCAGCCGATCGGGAATTTTGCTCTCGACCCGCACTCGAAATACGCGAAATATCATCGACGTCTGTGCCCCGCGGGTCTGCCGCGTCATTGGTCGTCGAAAATTAACATGCGAACGACCAGGAAATATCGCGCGAATTAAAAAACCGGACGAAATGGGGAAAAGCGCGCGGGCAAACGAACGGAGTGGACGGGCGGTCGGGGTGAGAATAAAAATCGGAGGGTGCGCCTTCATGTATGTTGCTCTTTTTTTTTCCGTGCCATTTGATCCTAGAAAGGTTCGGTAGTGGATCTGCGTCTTTTCGTCTCTCCGCATATTATATGCTCGTGCGTTTTTGCACGTGAAACACCATCGATCATCTCGCAAGGTTCTTACCTGCGCGCTCGGAAACTCGCCGGGAATCCGCGAAATTTTCGTTTTAATTTTGCGACTCTCTTGTGCGTTTCTTATTTCGTTTTGCGCCTTTGCGTTTGCTCGTATCGTAAATATTCCGCGGTTTTCGTTCATTCCCGAATTCTCCATTTTTCGCGCGATTGTAAAGATATTCGGCATCTTGTGGTTTTTTTTTTTTTTTAAGAAATATGCCTTTTTATAGTTTGAATATTTTTAATAATATTGTTCTTTTTGTTTCAGGTAAGAAACAGTATAAATCAGTTTTCGTTCGGTGAGTGATAATTATTTCTACATTTTTATTATTTTGACATAGGTTTTTCTTTTTTGCAATTTATTCACGTATGAAAAATGTAATAGAAAATCGTTATAGTTTATTTAGACGAATCCATGCGTTAATCGATCACGGCGGCATCATTTGCTTGTAATCCACATAAGCCTGGCGTGTTAACATCGTGTCGCATCAGGTTGCACGTAACATACACGATCGAACAATTGTCAGTTTAATCCTTTGTGACGAGTGAAAACATCGCTGTAACCAGCATGCCGAGTATATTCGAAATATCTATCGTAGAAGAGAAAATCCGGGCTGTTTTCCCGGGGAAAGCGTTTATTTTCTGCACGTGATCCGAAGTATTTATCCATGCATTCGTACTTTTTCACAAAGACCCTAAAGATCTAGTTTAGCTGCACCATACGATAAAATAGCGAGCAGGGAAATCTTTCGCTGCATGAACAAAGATACGAGAGGATAACTCAAATTGGTTTGAAATACGACAAAAGATGGAGATTTTCTTAAATATTTTTTTTCAGCCTTGAGTATCGATCTCGCTTATCAACGTTATGATTTACGAGCTCTGGCGCATGCCTGGCTTTGCCTCGTAATTGCAAGATCGGCATTGTATCTCGCCGTGGCAGGAATATATTAAATAACGAGCGGGGCCGGGGAAAACGTTCCATTAATAACGCGAGGTGGACACGTAGCGTTTGACTATAGCCAATTCGGAACTCTTTGACGTTGCTTATCAGCGGCGCCGACGAGTGGGCTTCGAGGCAAGTAATCGGCGATACAAAATGAAAAACGCTGATAATTTAAGCGTCGAACCCTCGGTCGATCGAGGGATGGAGCGAGCGAACGGAAAAGAGAGAGGGGAGAGAAAGAGAGACGAGCGGAATAATCCAGAGTGTTATTTATTCGTTGCTATGGCACAGCCGATGCACAAAGTTTTCATAAACGTTGCTCGTGGGCATGTTGAACGCGCGCGCGCCTCTCTCTCTCTCTCTCTCTCTCTCTCTCTCTCTCTCTCTCTGGCACTAGATATACTCCGGCTAAACTGTACTTCCTGCCAAGTCGGGATTTATGGATTACGCGGCGTTTCGGCTTAAGTTATCACGCGCTGTAAAGTCGGAGAAATATTAGTCGTTGACGGCGGATATATAGCTCGCGAGCGCGCGATGTCAGCGAGGCACTTGAAACGGTATCAAAGTTCTCGCCTTATGACGCCCGTTAAACTGATATCGCCGATACCACCATGTGTATCCTGTGTGATACCAATTACGAGATATACGGCATTGCACACTTTCATGAATGTAAAGATAATCTAACGTCGATGCACGTAACTATATTGGATTTTTATTTCGCAGTTTTATATCCCAGATAACTGTCCTTCCTTCGACGATTTAGCTCGTGTCTCTCTCTTTGATAGGTTTTCAAAGTAAAACAATCTCCTACCTACTTGACTTCTTTATCACATCTAATTTTTCTCGCATATACTTTTATAAAAAAACTTTCCGTATCTTTCACTTTCGTAATAGCTTTTATTAGATAATTTTTTTACACGTACGAAGAAAATCTAGAAAAGGTTAACGTTCTCGCTTGTGAGAAGATAGATCAAGATCCAAGATAGATCAAGTCTTGATCTGTAGCCACCATAATTCGCGATCGGTTCATCGGCATCTTTTTGGCGTCCCTTCTACTGGACCATCGGGCCATTTTATCATTCTCTTTCCGCTCGCGAGCCGTGTAATGCGAGTCGCGAATCGGCGAGCGTGACTGGTGGACTTTTGGCACGGGGATTGTAAATGGTTTACAGTCGGCGATGCGAGTCGAGGCGAGGCAGAACGAGGCGATGCGAGGAGCAACGGCGGCGAGGTCGCCCGCGGGGGTGGCGTGCTCGATTCCCTCCAGTCTCGTTCCGTCTCGTTCCCTCTCCTCGCTCTTCTCTTCCTGTAATGTACAGTCTCCTCCTCCTCCTCCTCTTCCTTCTCTCTCCCCCCCTCCCCTTCCTTTCTCTCTCTTTCTCTCTCGCGCCGCGGGAGTCGCTTGAAAACTCGGTCAAAGTCTCGTCGTCGCGTCGCGTCGTCTCGCTTTGGGGATTCGAAGGAAGGGTCGTTTCTCTTTCCATCCCTCTACCGCTGCTTCTATACGTCTCTTTCTCTCTTTCCAGTCCGCGATGCTCATGTGCTTTGATTGTATTTCGCGTTCTCTCATGACGACATCGCACCGGAGCCAGCGCGCTCGTCGTAATCAAACGCGAAACGCCCGGTCCGATTTCGAGAACCGTTCGCTCTCTTTTGGACGCGAGGGCGACTTTTTGGGTCGCGCATCCGCGTCGCCCTTTTTCAGCAACGCCGGGCTTATCTCGTTTCTTCCTTTCTTTCTTAACCGATCTCTCTGGCGATCGTCCACCTCGCTACGTTCTCGCCTTGTGGCTTACAAAGAGCTGAAAGCGAGCTTTCTCGAAGCGCCGTCCTGCCCGCGTTCATTCGGTTTTTCTCACACGAAAGAATTGTCACACAGCACGATCTCTCTCTCCTCGAAGATCCAAAATTTCCACGAGTTTCAGAATGAAAACTGCCAGCAATAACAATATCTTGCCGTTAGAAATCTTCAGAAATAAATTTAGGCGTGTATTCAAACTTATACTTATACTTATACACGTAATTCTAATTAAAAAACAATTTGTTTTGACCAAAACGATGTGTTATTTATCGACAGACTGATCTAGATTGCAATAACAAATACAAAGTTCCGAAAGATTATTGTATTATCGAAAGATACAATCGGTTTATAACGGCAAGATTTGTACTTTATGTAAATCAAAGAGTTGCACTTGCATGTCGACTTTTGCGTCGGTGACGATCAATGCGGGGTAAACGTCGGGACAATGAGGGAATTAAAAACACTTGGTGCACGGATACTGGTTATTGACTTTCGAAGTCACTCTCCCTTTTTTCGATAAAGCTGGCACACGGTAAAAGCGGAGGGGTGGGCGAGCAAAAAAACAGCGAAAAGAGCACTATCACTGGAACGACTAGCGGTAGGTCAGGAGCGCGAGATGCGAGATGGATACAAATCATAAAATTTGATTGGACCGACCTAGGCCGGCTGGGGAGGAGGGTAACGCCGACTGTGTATATCCGATATATCGACTCCAACTCGCGTATCCTCCGCGTATTTCCGGCCGACCAACGAGAAGAGGGTGAACATGTATGTGTGCGTACATGCGTGTGTGCGTGTGTGAAACACGCCGATTCATTCATCCGTTTTCTCTCCTTTATTAAAAGGCACCGTGAATCGCTCTTGATGCACAGTAGAAAAAATTGTCGAGGTTTACTTATCCAATAAATTTACACTCCAATGTAGCTGAACAAAAAAGGTTTTGGAATTTTTAACTTTCTCGCGTTCACATATATTTAATATATTTTATGCAGCAGATGTTATTGTAATCTGAATCTGATCGAAAATCTGAAAGGAGCGAACTTTTTGTCGAATTAATAATGTCAATAGCAGTGCTCTACTTTTGCGAAAAAAATTTCCGCAAAATTCATATATATTCATTGTCCATGCACACCCAACACTTAAATTCACTCTTTGCGCTAACGCGTATTACGCTTCTGGCCGAGCTCCACTTTTCGGCGTGGAAATCGTTCGCGATGAGGAATCCGGATTCGGTTTCAGGCAGACGGACGCGACAGCTCGGCGCACGCTTCATTTGAATTACATGAAAATCGAGTGGGCTTCTTGAGGACCGACACGAGAGAGTCGTTCGCCGCTCTCAATCGACCGATCGATCGACATTGCAGATCCGAGGTGAGATTATCGCGCCTCGACCGCGAATCGCCGATACTCGAGCGATTAAGAGTAAAAGAAGAAGGGGAGGGAGGGGGGGAGGAGAGAGAGAGAGACGGAGAGAGAAAGCAAAGGGGAAACAAAGATGAAAAA